CAGGTTCAAGAGCTGCGGTGGCCCACCCGTCCCTTTCATTACGCCTGACAGAAACAATAAGAAAATCCAAGCAGAAGAGCATACGTGCCACAGCTAGTGCGTCAACGTTTTTCTGGCACAGTCCCCATGTAATTATGAGCCTGGGTGCCTGGCGGTGACAGATCGCTGGTAAGAGGGCCAGCAGAATGTCGTGGCACCTGCTGGGCTCCCCGAGCCTCTGCTTCTGGCTGCAGCCACAATCAAATTACAAGCAACCGTATCAGAGTGAAGAGAATGGATTGAAGCTGTTCCTACCTGGCCAGGTGTTTCCCATCTACTGTAGAATTCCAGTTTTGTTGCTGATTTGAAAGAAAGATTTATACTCTACTGAAAGGCTTTGGCAATTTTGAATAGCTGCTTTTATTAAACAGTGACAACAGCAATAAGATACATAATAAAATATACCAATGGTCAATAAATAATTACTATTTATTAATAGTAATATCAATAAACAATTGTTCAGGTAATATATTAACTTGACTATAGAGTATGTATTGTTGCTGAGCAACATGACGTTCAAAGATCATTTTGTTGAGTTTCTCTCATGAACCCAGGTCTCAAAAACACGTATGGCTTCTGTCCTAATTACTTAATTAGTTCATTCCTTTCAAATGAGCTCAAATAAACAGTGTGTTGTCCTTACAGGTGAAGTGAGTAACTGTGCAACTACAATAACAGCACCAAATCAAACACACACTCTACCATTCAAAAGTTTGGGGTCAGAAAGGTTTATTTATTTTTATATTTAGAAAAGATGCGTTAAAGTGATCAGAATTTTCTTTTGAACGTTTTATTCATCAAAGAATGTATCGGTTTCCACAAAAATATTAAGCAGCAAAACCGTTTTCACGTGTGATAATAGAAATGTATCTTGAGCACCAAAGCAGCATATTAGAATAATTTCTGAAGGATCATGTGACACTGAAAACTGGAGTAATGACTGCTGTAATGACTGAAAGCTCAGTTTTTTGCATAACAGGAATAAATTACATTTTAATATTCAAATAGAAAACAGTTATTTAAAATTGTCATAATATTTCATAATATTACTGCAATATTACTGCTTATCTGGGTAAATCATTTCACCACTACTGTATGTTGCTTGGAGAGAAGTGCAGCGGTTAATTTTGCTTTAGCTTTACTAAACTTTACTCTGTATTCATTTCTGTAGTAATGGCACAATCCCTCTCCCTCTCCCTCCCTCTGGCAGTGGTCCTTCAATCAGGGTTGAATTATGACCAGTCTGGCCTGCACACAGCGATCTCTGCATCCTCATTAGGCCTTCATTAACCCTCTCAAGCTGAGCTTCCACTCAGCTTACCAGTGGATGTGTTTGAACACCATTCTTCATTTCCCACAATCCCCCGCTGCTCAGCACAGTGTATGGGAACTGTGGTTCAGTGCCGGGCTTTCAGCACATTTACTGTAAAATGACATACAAGGCTCTGGGGACATACATTGACCTAATGTGCTGCACAGACACATTCATGAAGAGAAACTGCTTTTGGATGTGTCAAATGCATGTCATTATTTTGACAAATAATATCCCTGCTGCGATGCCTCTGTAGCTTTTAAAATGAGACTCTTGAACAATGAGGAATAGAACCACTTCTATACCTTCATGCCCTTGTGTTCGCCTGAGGATATCTGTAATATAGATATAGAAATATCCTCAGCAGGTTAAAAAAATGAGGTAATAATGTTTCAGAACTGTTTTTTGATCTCAGATCTCAAATTAAAAGTCATATCTGGTATGTTGGTGGCTGCCATATTAAGTTTGGGACTCTGGGAGGCTGATGTGATAAAAGTGATCATATGATCAGCGTTAGTCCCACAGTAGCATTTCACTGTAAGTGTGTGTGTGTGTGTGTGTGTGTCCATGCCCACAGAAAACTGGAGCAATGGTAAACTTGCATTAATTCACCAAGGACAGTTTTACATTAAATAATTAATGTTTAGGAGACTTGACTAAACAAGTGAGCAAACAATATCCAGTGAGTCTCATAACCAAATGAACAAATTAATTAATATGTTAGAGTTAAATAGGTCTATATTTCAGCAAAATTCCCCCACCACAGTACTTTTATACTTAAAGTTATACACATAGTTATATACAAACACACACAACATCTACAGAGAGCAATATCGAATATATGTTCATATCCATAAAATTATGCACACATATATAAATTAAAGTATATATTTATGTACTGTGTGTGTGTGTGTAAATTTAGATTTAGTATTTTAGACATGCATTAATGTTTATATTACTATTTGTTTAGATTTAGATTGTTTAGATTTAGACTATTTGTCCAATCAAACAACATTATTTTGATGCAAATTCATGTCATTTTTTAGATCCTAGCAAAATTAGACAGATGCTTTTATGAACAGGTTGCATGACAATCCCTCGTCCTAAAAGCCAAGAGTAAAATTACAAGGTCAAAGAAAATATGAACCAGACTACATTAAAAACATTTTTGTTTACTTGTTTACGTGCGATAAAGAAAAAAAGTGTATACTGTATTGGATCACAAAATCTGGATCCTGTAAGAAAACCAGTAGAGAACCATTGGTTTATTGACATTCTAGATTCTTCTTCTTTGTTCTCAATGGGCAATTAGGTTTTTGAGAGAGGCGCAGAGATTCCTGTGGTTGTGTTGTCCCCTTTTTGTGTCCTGGCCCTTGGTCTTTATAGCCATCTTTAAGATGTCTCTGTTCTGAGTTGAAAGGATGAAGAGGAGAAAAAAGTGAGCAGGACCATTTTTTCTCTCTCTCTTTATGGCCACAACACCCCCCGGAGACATTCTCCTGCACAAAAATAAAAATGTTACTAGTCTCAAGTCGAGTCTTAATATTTACTCCAAAGGGCAGGCCATAAACTATTAATAGACAGCTGTCTGTCTGCACAAGGCTGTGAGGGAGAATGATTTTATATTGAATCCTCATGTGGTTTGCCAGTAAAGGGGAGAAGAGGTGGTCCGGTTTCTCGCCATCCCGCTGGTAGTCCTGCTTTATCTCCCTCTCCATCCACCGCCAGACGAGAAGGGAAAGGCCATTACAAGGCTGTCTGGGAATATTGCAATATTCAGCAGGGCGATTATCTGACGTCTCCCTGGGAGGCACATTTCCTCCGTGGAGGGTAAGAGAGGCATACCTGTAGCTTAGAGGGAGAGAGTGAGGCTGATAAGGACCCTTAGAGTTGACAGAGAGGAAGTATCACCTTTCTTGGTTGTAAAGGAGGTCTTTCAGGGCAGGAATGAATATTTATATAAGGGCTCAAAATCTACAGGTGATCGCCACAGCAGTTTAGAACCTGTAATGCTTCTGTTTTGCATTTTTCTAACTTCTAATATAGTTTATTTTATTTTTTTAAAAATCATTATATCAGCATAGCTATTTGAGTTGAAGTTAAGAGTTGAAACTAAAAGAGATGCATTTCTAAATTTCTTAGTATCATCTGAAGGTCTGTACAAAGGGGTTTGCTAATTTAGTTATGATTAGTGAAGAAAAGTGCAGGATCTTCATTCCTTATTCATTTTACATTTCTTTATGTAAATGAATTCACAATCCTAAACCTTTGTTTATTTTCAGGTTTAAGTGACATTTCGAATTCTAGACTTTCAGTGTGGCCTTTTGAACCCCGCTGAACAGAATATGCAAATATGAAGGAAATGTTTGCTATTTAAACATTTGCTGGATATTTGATTTTAGTAATACAGTGTATTCCCTACAGGTTGACGGCAATCTTGCTTTGTGTTGTTTTATACTCTTGTTCACATGAGCTCTTTGTTTGGGAACATGGGAAGAATCAAAAGAGGGTTTTGTATGTATTGAGATTCCTGTTGTACTAGTGTAATCATAGAGATCTTAAACAGGATGGCCGGTCTGGGTGGTCGGCAAAGGAAGGAGATGGACTTGAATATGGGATCCATTCTCTGCAGTGATAAGGGAGTGCTGGGAGGTTTTGTGTTTTTTTTTGTTTTAATTTCAATCTTGATGTTCTGCTCTTAAGTGACATTTGTTATTCTGGTGAGCTGTGGTTAGAGATGACTAGAAGTTTGATCTTAAGTGGAGGAAGTGAAGTGTTGAGGTGAATGATAATGTGTTCTCTTCTTTTGTATGTATTTATTGTACCACTTATCTTGATCATGCTTTTGATTTAATACAAATAGGCTGTCCTATAATGCAGTTCACTCAGCTTGACCTTTTATTTCCAGTGTGATTCTACCTGTTAAGACATTTTTATTTAAATTAGGTTGTACATGCAAAAATACACTTTTTTTATGTCCAAAATGACAATCACTGATTTAAACATGAACAAATGTGGCAACAATGTAGCATGGTACTGTCTTTTAATATTGCATAATGCACACTTTTTATATGTCTTCTTTAAAGTAATATTATATTTTTAAAAAACACTAGTGTTCAGTTACAAACCTAGTAATTTTTCTTTTTTAATTGTCCATAGTTTTTAATTCATTAATAATTGGCATGACAATGTTCTGTGTTGTTAGTCAAAACGTCTTCACTGAATAAATACAATTAATATATTTATAATATTCCAGAAAATGCTTTTTTTCCCCCTAGCAACTGTGCATGCAGAACTCTGCAAAATGTTCTGCAGATTTCCAATTTGGAACATTCATAAAATTCTACAAATGTGATAAATGTTTTAGTTATTTTGATGATTGTTGCTCTGTGTATATTGATAGTTTGTTTCAATAAATAAACTTTTTATTACTGTTTTAGACTTATTTGGATTTTCAACAAAGTAAGAAAAGTCTCTAAAAATGCCTCAGTGTGTCATAAATGAGTCCCCTGAGCTCTAGTTATGACAGGTTTGAGTACTGGTACTTTCATATTTATTAATAGTGTTACCCCTAGCCATGTGTTTACCCAGAGATGCATTGATCCAGGTTTCCATTATGCTAAATGCCTCTTTTCTGCTCTTTCTGCAGATCGACCGTGTCATATTCTGCGTCTTTCTGGAGACAGATTATGAGATTTACAAGAGGAAGATGTCAGATTTCTTCTCCCCAGGTACTGTATCTTCTTATTGGAATCTAACTTCATTTTATTTGTTGGTTGTAACACCCACTCAGCTCAAAGCTTGTTACTTGGGCATCAGGCAGAATTCACAATGTCAGGCGTCTGACTGGTGTGACGCCTGAAAGAATTTGTATCATATTTTGTTGTCAAAGTGCACAAATTCAGCACAGCAGGCAGTGATTGGATTCCACATAACCAAAACCTGTTTATGGTAATGTACCGCCCAGGTTGGATTATTTAAACTGAAAATGATTTCACCCCACCTTGATCATACAATGCAATCAGGATAACCACAGTCAGACTCTCTTCCAATTAAAGGGCTGTTTCATTAAAAAATGTATGTTATGTCATCATGTGCTCATTTACTGTCATAATTTATATGTTGTTCCAAACTTAGACAATTTCCTTTCTTCTGTACAATACAAAAGTAAAATGCTGAAGACTGTGGTCACTTTTTAAAAATTTTTTTTGCTGGATAACGCTTTACAATAAGGTTTCATTTCTTAACATTAGTTAACTTTATTAATTATCATGAAATAACAATCAAAAATACTTCTAAAGCATTTATTAATTTTAGTTAATGTTAATTTCTGCATTTACTATTACATTTTTAAAATCAAGAGCTGTATCTGTTAACTTCAGTTAAAACACTGTGAACTAACATTGGACAATTATATTTTATTAACATTAACAAAGTTTGATAAATGCGGTAAAAATATATTGCTTTGTCAGTTTATGTGAGCTAATGCATTGATGTTCATGAATGAGACATTATTGTAAAATGTTACCATTTGATGTAAATATAGAAAAACTTTCATACTTCAAAAAAAGGTTGAAAAGCATCATAAAAGACACATGTAGGTTATTCCCTGAAATTTTTGGCATTTCCTTGTTGTGTTCATAAAGAAGTAAATATGTCTGCTTAATGCACAAATTGCTCTTGTGAGTTGGATCTTTTTTGGTTCAAACTGCCCACCACTTTAAGGATCGGTCCAGTCATATATATGCAGTGTCATTCAAAATATACCAAAAAAATATTCAAAGTTATGACTGTTTGAGGAAACTAACCAGTAGGCTGTCTGCAAAGGAGTAGGGATGCACCGATCATGATTTTTCATGCAATTCTGATTGCGGTTTTTTTTTTTTTACTGATACCGATTGCTGATTTTTTTTTCTTTAAGCTAGAGACAATATATACATATATTGTATCGGCCCCAAAGCGCATAAGCCCACTGGGAAAATGCCCCAGAGTTGGATCTTTTTTGGTTCAAACTGCCCACCACTTTAAGGATCGGTCCAGTCATATATATGCAGTGTCATTCAAAATATACCAAAAAAATATTCAAAGTTATGACTGTTTGAGGAAACTAACCAGTAGGCTGTCTGCAAAGGAGTAGGGATGCACCGATCATGATTTTTCATGCAATTCTGATTGCGTTTTTTTTTTTTTTACTGATACCGATTGCTGATTTTTTTTCTTTAAGCTAGAGACAATATATACATATATTGTATCGGCCCCAAAGCGCATAAGCCCACTGGGAAAATGCCCCGTATGCCAGATGGCCAGTTAACCCCTGATTTGCAGTATGAAATCTTCTGTCTTCATTCATTATAATTGCATGGAAAATAGTGACCAGCATAGTTTTCAGAATCTCCTGAAGTCATACAAGTTTGGAGTGACATAAGGATGAGAAAACAATGGATTTTTTTTTGTGTAATTGCTAAAATAATTTCAGAAAGTTTCCCAGAATCAATATTGCTCTGTCGGGCAAACAGTGTCATGTTGAAGACACTGATTTCGCACAGTTGATTTCACACAGGGGAAATCAACCTACAAATGGCTTACTTTTAGCACATTAAGCCAGGTTAGGAGAAAGCATTTTAACATTGAAAAAAACATAGACACCATGTTTAAAGAATACATAAAATATTACATATATAAAAGACCCACAATATATATACTGAGAGGAAAGGAGAGAAATAGGATAAGCTTTGTGCATTGGAATGTGTTTTTGCTGTCTGCATCTCACGGCTCATTGCATTTGCGTCTCAGTTTGTAACCAGCCGCCTTTGAGTGATTTTTGGTGTTTCCACAAACTCAATTCGTAACTAAACTCTTAGGCTCCTATAACATCTTGCTTTTCCTTGCTGCCTGAGAATCCCAGGAAATACTCTAGTGTATGAGTTTAACAGGTGTGGAGCATTTTGACTTCTAGTATTTCACAGTACAGATTGCTTGTTTCTGAAGCTCAATCGTTGTAGCCCGGAGGTCCATATGTAGAGCATGACTCAAAGGGGCTTTACTTCTGTCAACACCCTCAGTGATCCTGAGCCTCAACGGCAAACCCCAGATGTCGGCGGCATGCAGGACGGCACCTCCTCAGTGACATTCCACCTCACACTTTTGCTTGTCTGTTTCTGGTTGGATCATGTGGTCTCTGGTTCTGGCTTTGGTTTATGTAAAGATGAACTGTTGTGTGATGGAACTTTAGAAGTCGGTTCCTCGGTTTTCACTTTCTTTGTCTTGCTCTTTGGGCTTCTGTCAGTGTCAATATGACTGTTTTGCTTTCACCCAATCCCTCACTTTGCCTCTCTTTAATTTTTTTTTGCTCCCTCTCCTGCCTTATGAGACGTGGCACTAGCTACTTCCATGGGAACTTGTCTATTGTGCGCCCATGTAGCATTTCTCTCTCTTTAAAGGCCAAGTCTCTCTCAGGAAGGCTCTTTTCAATCTCCCTGAGCACTATACAAAAATATGATGTGAGTGCAGGCCTCAACAGAGCCCTTTTGGACCTTCCCAAGCGTTCTGCTGTCTCGCTCTGCCTGAAGCTCACTGCACTTTCATGACAAGACCCCCTGGAGGTTTCCAAATGAGTCGCTGCCTGGAGGTTCGTCATTTGTATGGACACGCACACACACACAAACAAACAGAGGAATGGTGAATGCACAGTACCGAGAGAATAATATAATCCACCATTTCCTCCCCTCAAACACACACTAGGACTCGTAGACCAGGCGGAATAATAAGTGTCAAGACACTCACTCTTTCCCTACTTGCTGAATGTTTTGTTTCTGTCATGTTCCTTTCACACACATACACACTCTTTTCCTCTTCCAGGTCTTGCTGAAAGATAGAATTCACAGGAGAATTTGTAATTATCAAGTCAAGTCAAGTCTGCTTTATTGTCAATTCTTCCACATGTACAGCACATACACACAGAGTGATTATATCAGCCAGGTCCTTGTTCCCCAGGCGCGTCTCTTTGTGTTATGTTTAGAAATGAGATGGCGGAGACGCTACTCTCTTAGTTTACAACCAATCAGTATGAGCCAGTCACCTCACTTCAGCTTTCTCCGAATTCTCACTCGCACTTGATTTTTTACTTGGACCTTTACTTTACTTTACTTTTAGTCATTTAGCAGACGCTTTTATCCAAAGCGACTTACAAATAAAAAAAAGTAATTAAAACTAAAAGCTAAAACTCTATGATTATTGCACAGGTGTGCCTTAGGCTGGCCACAAAAAAAGGCCACTCTAAAATGTGCAGTTTTACTGTATTGGGGGGTCCGGGGGGGTCCGAAAACCAGTCAGTATCTGGTGTGACCACCATTTGCCTCACCCAGTGCAACACATCTCCTTCGCATAGGAACTGGAACACGCTGTCGTATACGCCGATCCAGAGCATCCCAAACATGCTCAATGGGTGACATGTCCGGTGAGTATGCTGGCCATGCAAGAACTGGGATGTTTTCAGCTTCCAGGAATTGTGTACAGATCCTTGCAACATGGGGCCGTGCATTATCATGCTGCTACATGAGGTGATGGTCGTGGATGAATGGCACAACAATGGGCCTCAGGATCTCATCACGGTATCTCTGTGCATTCAAAATGTCATCAATAAAATGCACCTGTGTTCGTTGTCCATAACATACGCCTGCCCATACCATAACCCCACCGCCACCATGGGCTACTCGATCCCCAATGTTGACATCAGCAAACCGCTCACCCACACGACGCCATACACGCTGTCTGCCATCTGCCTTGTACAGTGAAAACAGGGATTCATCCATGAAGAGAACACCTCTCCAAAGTGCCAGATGCCATCGAATGTGAGCATTTGCCCACTCAAGTCGGTTTAGGATGACGAACTGCAGTCAGGTCGAGACCCCGATGAGGAAGACGAGCATGCAGACGAGCTTCCCTGAGACGGTTTCTGACAGTTTGTGCAGAAATTTCTTGGTTATGCAAACCGATTGTTGCAGCAGCTGTCTGGGTGGCTGGTCTCAGACGATCTTTGAGGTGAAGATGTTAATCCAGTATGTAAGGGAAACAGGTCAATTTAGCTCAAAGGGAATCATTTAAGATTTTAAAGGGAATTTGGACAGAATCACTGTTTTACGGCTGATCACTGAGACGGCCAGCGATTCATTGAACATCAATTCAATTCATTGTATGACATCAATTCTGCAATGGATATCAATATCCAAAATATAGTGAAAACACTATTAAATAGCACAGTAACAAGATCGGCAGTTTAAGACATTAACTTGTGAGCACAAAACACGAGATACTTCTCTTTTCAATATAAATAAGGCTTTATTGGATAAATCTAAGACATATAAACTAATCTAACACACGCATTCACACAAGTTGCAGAAAGAGAGAAAGTGAGGAAATAATTAGTTTAAGAGAATGAAAATGTGAAATCCCAAGTTTACAGCAATATGTGCAATTGCATAGATCTGAACAACCATCAATCACTTAATTAACCCTTGCATTGAGTTCCTCAATGAGGTTAATATTTATATTAAATGCACCAGTTCAGCTAGGACCTGGAGGTACTTGCGTTGCGTTGCCTGTACAGGGGTTCCCTTTGTTGTTTGGTTGCCGAAAGGGGTTTCCCGCGGTCGCTGATTGGCTGGACGTTCAGTTTTGGGAAGCCAGTGGTTGGGCGTTGGCTGACGACGCGGAGCTGTGGTCTGAAGTTGAG